TCTCTTAGCCCGGTTGATGAAGCTGAGGTGATGGGCACATTCAACACGCTAAACAACACGACATCTTGTGACATTGATGGATTCCAAGTTAAACCAATTAAGTTTATATTTGACATTATTTCGCCGTACATTACGCATATTCTCAACAAGTGTATCATTAAGGCAGTGTTTCCTCGTGGTATGCAGCTTGCGCGTGTATCAGTAATTTATAAAAAGGGTGACAGAAATCAATTGGGAAATTACAGGCCAATATCTATACTACCAATATTTTCAAAACTGTTTGAAAAAGTTATTCATAAGCGCTTCGTGAGCTTTGAATCTAAGCATTCCCTAATTAGTGACTCTCAATTTGGTTTCAGAAAACACTGTTCGACAGAGCTCGCGTTACTGGAACAAAAAGAACACATTCTAAAGGAACTTGACAAAAATAAAATAGTTATTGGGATCTATGTCGACTTTACGAAGGCTTTCGACCTAATAAACCATGAACTATTGCTGCGCAAGTTAGAGCGTTGCGGATTTCGTGGACATGCATCTGCACTCATAAAATCTTATCTTGAATTCCGTAGGCAGGCAGTCGTTGTAAACGGATTCTTATCCGATACACGGCCTGTTCAGTGTGGCGTCCCACAAGGCAGCATTTTGGGCCCGTTTCTTTTTAACATGTTTATAAATGATATTGTGCAGACTATACCCTTCGCAAAAATTGTATGCTACGCTGACGACACGAGCATATTTCTAGCTGGAGATAATATAGGCGAGTTAACAGAACAAGCAAATGACGCACTAGACAAACTTGATAACTGGACACGAAAGAACGCATTACAGATAAACAGCTCAAAAACTAAAGTTGTCATCTTTAGAGGAAAAAACAAAAAAGTCACATTAACAAGAGATATATGTTTTCAGCGTATTCCCCTAGAAATAGTGCCATCGATTAAAACATTAGGAGTTATGATAAATCAAAAACTGTCCTGGGACGACCATGTAAGCTATCTTGGTAGCAAGCTGTCGCAGATAATAGGCATTGTTTACAGAAAACGTGAGATGCTGCCACTGAACGTGATGATCCTAATCTATCAGTCTTTATTTTATTCTCATCTAAACTACTGTCACTTAGTCTGGGGTACCACGACACAAGAAAACCTAAACAAATTACACGTCCTACAAAAAAGCTTCTTACGCGTAATGGAAAACCTTCCTCGCTGGCACACAACAACCGAACTTTTTACCAAACACAAAATTGTGCGGGTAACTAAATTATATGAGTATTGTCTTTGTCATTCCTTCAAGCGTGAAATCAAGTATAGTACATTTCTACTTCGTAAGATTGCTCTGCTAGAGCTGCGAAAACATATATGCAGAACAAGAAATACAGATATATGGCACGTTCAAACATACAGAACAACTTACGGCACGCAAACCCTGAAAAACCAGCTTCCGCGACTGCTCAATAGCTTCGCAGCTAAAAACGCACCCCTTGAAACATTGACAAATAAAGAGTTGTTATCATTTTTTCTTTCATAATTCCTGTTATCTGTTTGCTCGCGATTTCTGTGCCTTAAAAGTGTACTTCCCTGTATTGTGTCTTTCATTTTTCTTTTTCTGTTATATTATGCACATTTGCTTGTGTTATATTTTGCACATTTTGTGAATCCTTGCTGTTCGCCAAGTTAGGGGTCAGCAGCTCAGTCAAGCTGTACGATCCTCGGATTTTGCAGCTTTTACTGCGGGCCCCTGTCATCATGTACACAATGATGATGAAATAAACGTATTAATATTAATATTAATTTTACGGCTAACGATCGGCCCGGGGTGCGTGCCGTCCCAGCGATGTGCAGTGTTGCTTCTGTAAAGTGTTCGTTGCCCGCTGGTTTCAGTGGCCGCCCAAATGCGGTGCGTTTTTCCACGGTTGCTTGTTTGGAGGCGAAGCAAGCATCGCGTTGGGTTTTTTCATCGTTTTTTTTTTTTTTTTCAATCGAACGCCACGGCATGTATTTGTGCTGACCTGGCTCACGAGGTGAAGCGATTTTCACGGTATTCGCCTTTCTGTTCGCCTGTGTGCATGCCTGTAGTGGGCTAGGTCGCAGTTATATATGAAAAAAAAAAACAAGTTTTGGGAACAAATGTGATTCGTATCCTTTTGATGAGCTTGGTAAACAAGAGAAAAAGCGGGGGTCAGGATATTGCCCTCAGCAGAATTCTGTCTCGTGGGGTGCAGCAGTGTCTCGCTGCATGATGGTGAAGCGGATAAAAAAAAACCGTGATAGGGGCACCTCTTTTTTATGCGTGTGGAATTCTACGTAGCGCTGTCCTACAAGCGATGCTATCTGAGCGAGAAACAGCACCCTAGACGGGACGAAAGGATAGACGAGGCACACAGACACAGCACCGAGTCAATTTTGTACCGAAAGAGGCGGAAATTGTCGTCGTGTTTAAGAAAAACAGAAATGGCCTTTGCGCTTACGGAACACTTCCGCGTCGTCCCCACCAAAGCAATTAATACGCACGTGTGTGTAGTCGACACAGCCTGTAACACCAGGGAACTCAGCCACTTCATAAAAGTCCCGCATAACTATAGAAAGTGCTGCTGACTGCGGAAAGCGCACCAGCATTGCGTACAGGTGCTTTGCGATGAGTAGCGTAACTTTTCCAACTGCATGGCAAACTGTCGACTACGAAATGCAGACGAGATTCCCGGTGACTGTTTGGAATGTGCCAGCGCCGTAAAACCCGAGAGCCATCAATAGCTGTAACACTGGGGGCACAGGCTGTCCTCGGTTGTCCCCACTTTCACGGAGCGGCAACATACCCAGCAGCTGCCGCTAGGCGTTCTTCGTGAATCTGTATTGAGCGTGGAATTGTTCCTCGTCGTACAACTCCACCGGATATCCTCGGTCACGTAAAGCAGGTCCAAGATTCTTCGGCAGGCAGTGCGCCTTGGAAAATGCTACGCTTATGGCGACGCAAGCAAACTCAAAAGCAGCCACCCTCTGTGCGACGTCCATTCGAGAGGTGGCCATGTTGGAATAACGCACGAAGTCGCTTTCAAGCTAGCCCCGCATCTGACTTGAAACTTGTCCTGACTTAGACCGAGCCAAGTCGCCTTCAAGTCGTCCGCAAGTTCGAGAACGATTTATGGTGACCGGCAAGACTGTCTTGAGTCAAGAACGAGTCAAGTACGAGTCAAGTAACATCTCTGCATACGGGGGTAAGAGGCTTTTCTTACTGAGAAATCTGTATGAATTTCCTTTTGGCCTCGTGCTACAAAAAAGAACTGACATACAGACACAGCGAACCCGAAATTCGCTTAAGACAGAAATGGTCGACGTGTATCGTATTTACTCGATTCTACCGCGCCCTCGATTGTAACGCACACCCGATTTCCACGATGGAAAAAAAAAAACAAAACGTAAGACATCGATTGCAACGTGCACCTATTTTTCTCGTTGGCCCGCACGATCACACCACTCGAAAAAACGACTCCTTTCGGGAGCGTCTTCCATTTAAATATGAGGTACGGGCGAGCTTGTGCCCATCTGACATGTAACAGAGCATTGCCATCACTGTAGTTTTACCGTGGACCGATGTCGGCACGCGAACTTGCTTCGCCCCCTTCTTCTCGACGGTTGTGGTGCCAGGCATGTCGAAGTAAAGAGGCGTCTGACCAGCATTCCCGATTTGCCCAAGCAGGTAGCCGTTGTTGCGTCGCAAGTTTAGGACGAACCTCTGCAAACTGTGAAGCTTTTCATCGTACTCCACTGCAAAACTTTTCGCATATGCATGTTCCCCTTCGGAGGGAAAAGCCTTTGCTCTTCATAAAGTTAGTTAGCCAGCACCTGCTCACTTTAAACTGGCTCCCCATTAGACCTTTTTCTAAGACTAATTGCATAGCCCCACTTGGAGCAGTTCTGTCATCACGGGCCGCTGTGCCGCTCGCTGCTCAAGCACATACTCACCGAACAGCTCTTTAATTTGCGGAAACCAACCCTACTGTGGTCCACTGAAGCCTTTGCGTGAAGCTTTGCTGTCAATAATCGTTTGCTTTTGTTTCCGCCAGTCCTGCACGCACGTTTTGGAAACTCCGAACGACCGCGATGCGGCCCGATTTCCGTCCGTTTCTGCACAAGCGATGACTTTTCTTTTAAAAGCGGCACCGTGGTGCACTCGAGTTTTTGAAGTCGGCCCTTCCATGCCGTCGATGCTAATGCACTACAAGATGACGAACTCCTCAGCACACGTACGAAGTACCGCACATGAGAAAAACAGGCAGAAATGGCCGACGCGCCATGCCGACGCACGTAGGAGCGGCCATTTTGGAAATGCCGATGGCAATAGAATGACCGTATTCATTTTTTTTTTCGTACTCGATTCTAACGCGCATGCGATTTATGAACTCGCTTAACCGGAAAAAAGGTGCACGTTATATTCGAGTAATTAAGGTAGTATCTTCACATAGAAGCCCATCATCCTTCTCTGCATGCCACTTATATATGACTTGGTTTAGAAGACTGGCAAAATTGTGAACAATACCTCGTGCCGAAATGGACAAGTTGATGTCACCCTCCTGTAACTTTTCTCTCTGTTGTAGTCTGAGAGTTTAAAAAAAAAAGAGGTAGGGTTTCACCCTACCTTTATGTGTTTTATGTACCTATGTCTGTGTTGGCGCATGTGTGTCTTTATATATAAACATGCAAAATTAAAACATTTTGGAAGACAAGTTTAACTCCCCCCCTCCTCCTAACTGGCTATGCCAGTGGACATGATGTACCATTGACCAAAACAGTGGCGACTACTATCCGTTTTATAGTTCGGTAGTTTTCTTGCTAACGAAATATCTATTCTTACTACAAATGACAAGTACATCATGGCAGAAACCTCGGCATCAGGAATCTTTCAACATAGGTTGACTTTATTAATTTTCTGTAATGCACCTTTATCGTCCCATCAATTTAAAGAAACACAGAAAAGAAAGTGACCAAAGAGAGAGAGAGGCCCACCTTTGCTTTTGTCGTTGAGTGTAAGGCACTATCACAAAGGTCTGAAGAATGTACCACGCCACGAGGGGTGTCACTGTACCATAGAATATGGCGCTGGGAAGGGGCTCTTCCGACAAAAAAATGGGAAACACAAAGCTCTGCGTGGCTCGATTCAATCTGCGTGAGAAACGACATCAACCAACACAAATGATTAGCAAAGAGCAGGCATGCAATGCCTTGCGTCAGGGGTTTCAAAGACATGGACGCACGCGGTTTCCTGACACCTTGCTAGCAACCCACCGTACAAATGAACAACTTTGTCCTAATTTTTATCTCAACATTTTTGTTCATCAGCCACATACACATGATTAGGCTCAATCATTCTTTTCTTGGGACACCCCATCATTTACCATGTTGCAAAGCAGAAATGCGGAACAAAAGCTCTATATTTCAGAATCCGTGTCCAGATTGCAATCATTCTGGACATTGCGTCAAATTCACTATAATAGATTAACACAATGATGCGCCATAATGCATGTTAAGATTTGTTTTTCAATGCACGCCAAGAAGCACACAAGAATGTTTAGTCATTTTCTTTTTTTCATCTCAGCTCACCTTAGTTTGAGTGTAACTCCAGAAGGAACGCCTATGACCATCGTTGCTCCTATAGTATTGTGCTGGGATATTTTTTTCTCAACACCATATTCCACTATTGCTCCGAAGGTGCCTATTCTGGAAAAAAAATGAAACAAAGAATGATCGATCTCAAACTCGGTAACAACTTAATAGGCATGGCCACAAAACGAGGGCAAAAATACAGCAAGATTTCAGCGATCTCGCAGAACCACACCACAGTACGGATAGAAAAACATGTTTTTGAAAGTATGTTTTCTTAAAATTTTGAGGGTGTTGTTTATGGGTTATTTTCTGGCGGATATCAGATGCTTATCAAACTTTATTTTTCGCAAGTCCTCAGTTCTATGAAATTCAGAGTATAATTTTTCATTATTCTTGACACTCAAATATCTGAATACAAAAATATGAGAACACACAAAGCGTATTTTGGTTGTCCGGAGGATTCGAATTACACAAGAACAAATACCTACATTTGTACATATTACCACCTTAAAGCTTGTTCTAATAGGCACAACCACACCTTACCAAGTCTGCATATTTGATGCCATCTGGCGTGCCCCAGTGGCGCCAAGGGACTGTGCATCAAGTTTTCGTTTCGCGCTCCCAGGGGCCCTACATACGCTGACCTCTCTCACTTCATGCATGGCAAGTTCTTAGTTAACTGTGCAATGGGTGCGCTCTTCGAGATACTGCGGAGGTGAGTTACAGTTTTTATTAGCTTAACCAGCCAATGAATTGCTGACAGCTTAAGACATGCCCTTTTGATAAAGAACCGAACTGGCTCATATCGGACGCTGATAGCAATAGTTACAATTGATTTGTAAAAAATGTACTGGCAAGTGTTTGAAATTTTTTCAAAAAATGAACCCCTATGGAGCAAATTCATGTCAGTAACAACTTAGATGAAATCAAAGAGAAATGGCTCCAAGCAAGGCATGTAGTGAAAAGCCAAGGCATGTAGTGATAAGATTAGTTTGCCGTTCCGGCGCCCGGGGGCGTCGATGTTGCAAGGAAATAAATACGGCGCACATGACCAGCCAGTCAGTGTGGAACCCGCCAACGTACGTGTGTGTGATTCGGTCCAGCGACCGGCATGGCCCAGGACTATCCGGTTATCACAAGTGGCGACGAGGTCGACTGACGAACCGGACGGGCACAGCACAATCACACGTCGTCATGCCTGTCGTCGGGAAGCTGGATCCGTTCGACCCGAGTACATCGGAGTGGGCGGAATACCGTGAGCGGGCCGAGCTGTACTTCATCGCGAACGACATCCCGAGCGACAAGCAGACAGCCGTATTTTTGACATGCTGCGGTCCAGAGACTTATTCTCTGCTACGAGGCCTCCTAGCACCAAGCAGGCCCGCCCAAGCAGGACTGACCGAAATTTTTACCACACTTGGCAAGCACTACGCCCCTCGCGTATCAGAAGTAGTGGCAAGTTTCAAGTTTTTCTCAAGACATCGAAAAGAGGGGGAGACCGTAAGTGACTACATTGCCTCGTTGAAGAAATTAGCCGAAGACTGTAATTTCGCAACATTTCGAGAGCGCATGTTGCGCGACCAGATAGTCAGCGGAATCAATGACGTAACCATGCAAACACGGCTGCTGGAAACGACGTGTTTAACCTTCGAAACTGCAAAGGACACCGTCGTAGCTATGGAGGCTGCGCGTAAAGATTCACGCACATTGAGCTGTCAGCAAGCACAGCTACTATCTCACGAAGCTCCGGAGCAAGCGAACGTTGTCACCTCGGGGAAAAATGATAGCTGTTGCTTCCGTTGCGGGGGAGGTCATTCTGCGCGTCGGTGTAAGCACGGCAGCACGATCTGTCACAACTGCCGCCAAAAAGGGCACCTTGCAAGAGTTTGCAGAGTTCAGCCGGGAAGTAGAAATTTCGACCGGAGCCAGTCTAGTCGCGTGAACAACCTGGGCGACCTGCCCTGTCTCTGCTGAAGAGCCCGAAGTTTTCGACTTGTGGACGCTTCACACAGCTAGTTCGGAGCCAATGCGCATAGCGGTTGAAGTTAATGGCATAATGCTCGATATGGAGTTGGACACCGGCGCTAGTGTGTCGACCATTGATGATGGCAAGTTTGCCGAGCTTTTTCCGTCGGTGCCGTTGGAGCCATCGAGTGTGCAGCTGAGAAGTTTTTTCGGCGACATGAAACGCGTCCAGGGAAAGCTGGAAGCAATGGTCAAACTTGGCGACAAGGAGCGCCAGCTACCACTATTTGTCGTGAAAGGGGCGTGTCCTACGCTGTTTGGACGAAGCTGGATGAAGGCCTTCAAGCTAGGCATCGCTCAGACGGAGGGAGTCAACGTCGTGAAGTCTACGGAAGACCTGGTAAGCCAATATCACGAAGTTTTTTCGGAGCAGCTTGGCACGTTTCACGGCGTTACAGCGTCTATATCCGTACAAAAGGGTGCGAAGCCACGTTTTGTCAAGGCACGTCCGATACCATTTGCTTTGCGCGATAGGGTTTTTGAAGAACTACAGAGGATGGAACGGGAAGGCGTTATCAAACCGGTGAAAACTTCTCAGTGGGCCGCGCCCATCGTTCCTGTATTGAAGCGCGACGGCCGGGTTCGGGTCTGCGGCGATTTTAAGACTACCATAAACCCGGTGACAGTCGTCGAGTCCTACCCTATTCCTAGGATTGAGGAACTTTTTGCGCGACTTACAGGGGGCAAGAAGTTCACAAAGCTTGACTTGCAAGATGCCTACCAGCAGGTTCCACTCGATGAGGAGTGCCAAGAGCTAGTCACCATTAACACTCCGAAGGGGTTATACCAATTCACAAGGCTGCCGTTCGGGGTTTCATCAGCTCCGGCTATATTTCAGCGAGAGATGGAAAATCTGTTGCACGACCTTGACCATGTCGTAGTGTACTTTGATGATATTCTGGTCACAGGAACCAGTGACAAAGAGCATTGGGAAAATTTGGGCCGAGTGTTGGATCGCCTGAAGACCGCGGGACTGCGACTGAAGTTATCCAAATGCGAATTCATGAAACCAGAAGTCCAGTACTTGGGCCATATCATTAGTGCGGCTGGGCTGCGTCCAAACCCGGCTAAGACTGAAGCAGTGCTGGAAGCCCCCGCACCCCGAGCGGTCAAGGAACTTCAGAGTTACCTCGGGTTGGTTAATTTTTACAGAAGGTTTTTGCCGAACCTTTCTGCCGTATTACAGCCGCTCAATAGTTTGTTGGCGTCGGGAACACCATGGCGCTGGGAAACTGATGAAAAGCAGGCATTTCGGAGAAGCAAGGAGCTATTGGCCTCTGCTGCTATATTGGCACACTTTGACCCAGGAAAGCCAACTGTGCTTGTCACTGATGCATCTCCCTTCGGGATTGGAGCAGTACTGGCGCAACGAGAGTCATCTGGAGAAGAGCGCCCCATTGGTTTTGCCTCCCGCAGCCTGGCAACCGCGGAGAAAAACTACAGCCAATTAGATAAGGAGGCATTGAGCCTTGTATTTGGCGTTACAAAGTTCAGGCAGTACTTATGGGGCCGGCAATTCGAAGCCGTCACAGATCACAAACCGCTGCTCGGCCTGCTCGCAGCAGACAAACCAGTTCCCGAATCCTGTTCTCCGAGAGTGCTAAGGTGGGCCTTGCTGTTGTCGGGGTACAGTTACGACCTGAAGTATAGGCCGGGTTCACAAATTGCACATGCCGATGGGTTAAGCCGGCTACCTCTGCCAACTGCCGAATTTGTTGTTGACTGCCCTGCCGAAGTGTTAATGCTGGAAGGAGTATACCCAGGGGTGCTGTCGTCAAATGCTGTTGCGGCAGCCACCTCCAGAGACCCGGTGCTGTCACAAGTAAGAGCAGCGTTGTGGTCAGGCTGCCAGATAAACCTAGGGTCAGAGGGAAGACCCTACGAGACGCGCTTTCATGAGATGAGCGTGCAAGGGAACTGTCTATTGTGGGGCAACAGAGTCATTGTTCCAAAATCTTTGCAAAAGGAAGTCCTCCAGCTGCTGCATGAGAGTCATCCAGGACTGTCCAAAATGAAGGCAGTTGCGCGTAGCCATGTGTGGTGGCCTAGCCTAGATAACGATATAGCGATAACCATTCAAAGGTGCCGTATTTGCCAGGAGCATCAAAGAGTGTCACGACCAGTGCCTGTCATGCCCTGGCCGTTCCCGGAGAAACCGTGGTCACGGCTGCATGTGGACTATGCCGGTCCTCACAGGAACACCGATTTTTTTATCACAGTCGATGCGTTTTTGAAATGGATTGAAGTGTTCCCGGTCTCTACACCCTCGGCTGAAGCAACTATTTCCTGCATGCGCAGTATGTTCGCAAACCAAGGCCTTCCAGATGTGGTCGTGTCGGATAATGGGCCAGCATTTACCAGTGAGATTTACTCCACATTCCTCAAGAAAAACGGGGTGAGGCGAATGCTGGTGCCGCCGTATCATCCAGCGTCAAACGGTGCTGCAGAGCGGGCCGTGCAGACTGTCAAAAACAAGTTGCGGAAGGCTGGCCCTGGAGATATTCGCACTCAAATTGCCCGCATGCTCCTGACATACAGGTCAACGCCTCACGAGGTCACGGGTTGCTGTCCGTCGGAGCTGTTGTTGGGGCGGAAGCTGAGGACTGCGTTGGACCTGCTACACCCAGACCTCAGGACCAAGGTGCTACAGAAGCAACTTAAGCAGAAAATCAGATGCGACCAAGGAACAAGACCCAGGGTTTTGGGCCACCCGGGTGACCAGGTGTTCGCAAGGAACTTCCGTCCAGGACCTGCGTGGCTCCCTGCAGTCGTCACCGAACAACGCACTTCGTCCATGGATGTTCTACTGGAAGACGGACGACGGTTAACTCGACATCTGGATCACATCCGCCAGGCCCCTGAGGAACTGAGTGCAGACAACCAAAAGTCAGGCAGCCCAGTATCTACCGGTCTTGCTCCAAGCTTGGACGTGGGTCAGACGCAGCTAACTGGTCTTGCTCCAGGCTTGGACGTAGGTCAGAGGCAGCTATCTCCGGATCGTCTTCACGACACAGAGTCTAGGCAAGATCCCAGGGAAGACGTGGCGAGGGAACCGGAACTTGCTGTCACAGCACCCAGTACTCCTGTCCTGCGTCGAAGTACCAGAATTCGACGACCAGTATCGCGCTACGCACCTTAAACAATTGTTTGCAACCATTAATAAAGGGGGGAGGGATGTGATAAGATTAGTTTGCCGTTCCGGCGCCCGGGGGCGTCGATGTTGCAAGGAAATAAATACGGCGCACATGACCAGCCAGTCAGTGTGGAACCCGCCAACGTACGTGTGTGTGATTCGGTCCAGCGACCGGCATGGCCCAGGACTATCCGGTTATCACAACAGTTGCTCGTTAAAAGTATCCAATTAGATTTAAAGAGAAGGCCGGAGCAGTAGAAGAAGGCAGAAAGTTTTGTGGGAAGGTGAGATTCTGAAGCCTGTGGCGATGACATGGCCTCAGCTGAGAGCAGGACTGGGATAACTGGAGACACGTGGGAGGGGCCTTTGCCATGCAATGGGCACAGTCAGGCTGAAGATAATGATGACGCAGTTTGTTTTTATGATAGTGAAGATGTGTTACGTGCACATACACAAACTTGCCTTGATAGAATACTGGCGGAAAGAAAAGGCATCGGACAGGCAATTGGACAGGCAATGCTCCTGTCTAGACAACGACAAGCCCACTACTAAATGAAGAATTGGCGCCAGCGACATTCTCTGTTTTACAATTATTTCATCACTTCAAGTCTCTATACTTCCCTGAACATCTAGCTTCTTTCGACATACTTTGCACTTTCATTAGTTAACAAGAAATAGTATGTATGAAACGGCAACCAATACCAATACTACCAGTGCAACAAATACTGTACTTTCTCGCATATAATCCACAGCAGAAAAAGAAAGTGCTTAAAAGAGGCAGTGTGGGTTATAAGCAGGGGTGTTATGCAGGCATTTTTTTTTCTTTTAGTAGAGCTGAAGTTAAGGGTGCGGTTTATATGCCGGGGCAAGTTATACATGAGAAAATATAGTACATACTATTTAAGTGCATGCTTTCCTTTTGTTATTGGAAAACTGTCACCACCGTACTCAGACGTGACAACATCTGCCATGTGTCGTTGTCCTTATTTATCATTATGAGTGAAAAACAAGAGCATACCTGCCAAGTTCAAGGATTCTGAATCCGGGAGATTTCCACAACAGGGGGGCACCAAAAAATCGAGAACTAACAAACAAAAAACATTGCGAACAAAAAGGGGGGTAGGAGGGGGGGGTCTCAATCACAAGCACCAGCATCAGCGATGCGGTCTTAAGTGGGTAGGAGTGACCGAGCACGCGAGGGTAGAGTCTCAAAGGTGAGAATCTCAAAGAATCAACACAACTAGCAGAATCTATTTCAGTCAAAACAACTTGCGTGTGTCTGGTTTTGTGCATGGTGATTGCGGTAAACGGTAGTTCATTTTAATATCACCATGTGCTTGGCTGCGCACGCGCCTTCAAAACTAAGACGTTTTATGCCATCTACGACTGCGGTTTCGTCCTCAGCGGTTGTGGCAATGATAATAAAATGCACTGTAGTGCGCCGGTCGCACGCGTACTTCCGAAGCTTCGAGTACGCTGTTCTCGGCCTTCGTTTGACGGTTTCCGTACTAATGTTCGTATCACCCCCCGCGATCAGGAAATGTGTTCGGAACATTTGAATTGAAACCCAATGAGCATAGTAAAGTTTGGTTGAGGAACTTAAAGAATTCGTATCTGCCACGGTTTTGCATCACTGAGATTATACTGTACGTTTACATGAATGCCTCTTAAACTCATTTATAATAAAATGGGGTAGGTTCGAAAAGCCTGGAGCGGATAGAGCTGCTTTTTTGTCAATGCAGCCAGATCAGGCACAGAAATTTCGATTTCCGGGAGATTTTCAAGACAACCGTAGAACCGGACAAAACGGTCAAAATCCGGGAGCCTACCGGCCAATCCAGGAGACTTAGCAGGTATGCAAGAGCGTCTAAGAGCGGAGTCACGGCTACAGCGTTCAGCTTACTAAGGTCAAGGGCATGCTCATTGCATGTCTTGAAACTTGAGCCATGCAAGCTCTGTGAAAGATGCTGTGCGATGGTGGCTGATGAAGATGTCCAACAATGTTGAAGCTACTAGTGGGGAAAAATTTGTAAACTGTTCGCAAGCAGGATGCTTCAGATATGTACTTACTTTATGCTGCCTTTTAACCGACCTTCATCAGGAAACTTGTAGGTGTAGCTGACCATGGCAAAAGTGTTCGGGACTCCAAGCTAAAAGTGAGAGAGAAATATAAGACAAAAACAAGATTAGTATTACACAAAGAAAGCCTTAATAGCCCTAATGACAACTACAGTGTTATGAAGGCACATGCACAGCTGACATGCAACTAGTCCAAGCGTAACTAAATTCTGCCACAATCACTATGAACACAAGTGTGGTTGTGTCGATGCGAACTTCACCATCATCATCAGCCTGACTACATCCACTGCAGAGCAAAGGCCTCTCCCATAATCCATCAATTAACCCGGTCTTGTGCTTTTCATTGCCACGTTATACCTGCAAACTTTTTAATTTCATTGGCCCACTTAACTTTCTGTGTCCCCTTTGTATGTTCACCTTCTCTGAGAATTTAGTCCGTTACCCTTAATGACCAGCGGTGACCCTGCCTACGCGCTACGTGTACGGCCCATCTTCATTTCTTTTTCTTGATTTCAACTATGATATCCTTAACCCCGGTTTGTTCCCTGACCCATTCTGCTCTCTTTTTGTCTCTTAAGGTTATATCTATCACTTTCCTCTCCATCGCTCGCTGCGTCGTCCTTAATTGAAGCTGAACCCTCTTTGTAAGCCTCCAGGTTTCTGCTCCGTAGGTAAATACTGGCAAGATGCAGCTGTTATATACCTTTATATTGAGGGTTAGTGGCAAATTACCATTTATGATTTTAGAATGCTTGCCGAATGTGATCCACTCCATTCTTATTCTTCAATTCATTTCACTCTCATGGTTCGGCTCCGCGGTTACTACCTGTCCTGAGTAGACATATTCCTTTACCACTTCAAGCGCCTGTCCATCTATCCAAAAGTGCTATTTTCTGCCGAGACTGCTACACATTACTTTAGTTTGGTTTAGCTTACACATTACTACTCTACAATAGACCATATTCACATTATCAATTAGGTAATAGAGAAATGCACGGAACACAACCAACCCCTATAAATAACTTTCATAGATTAAGAGAAGGCATTTGACTCAGTCGAGACATCAGCAGTAATGCAAGCACTATGGAGTCAGAGCATCGAAGAACCCTACGTAAACATACTGAAAGAAATCTACAGTAGATCCACAGCCACCATAGTTTTCCATAAAGAAAATTAAGGAATCCCAATAATGAAGGGTGTAAGGTGGGGAGACACGATCTCTCCAATGCTATTCACCGCATATTTATAGGAGGTATTCAAGACCATAGACTGTAACGAGTTGGGGATAAGAGTTTACGGAGAGTACTTTAGTAACCTGCGATTCACTGATAACATTGCCTTGATGAGTAACTCGGGGGACAAATTACAAATCATGATTACTGAACTGGATACGGAAAGCAGAAAAGTAGGGCTGAAAGTTAATATGCACAAAACTAAAGTAATTTGCAACAATCTCGGCAAAAAATAGCACTTTGTGATATGTCGAGAGGCGCTGTAAGTTGTTAAGGGGTTTGTCTACTTAGGACAGGTAATAAGCGCGGAGCCGAACCACGAGATTGAAGTAACTAGAATAATAAGAATGGGGTGGAGCACATTTGGCAAGCGCTCTCAAATCATGACGATCTCTCCAATGCTATTCACTGCGTGTTTACAGAAGGTTTCCAGTACCTTAGATTGGAAAGAGTTAGGGATAAGAGTCTATGAAAGGTATCTTAGTAACCAGCGATTCACTGATAACATTGCCTTGATGAGTAACTCTGGGAAAGAATTACAGCTCATAATAACTGAACTGGACACAGAAAGCAAAAAAGTAGATCTAAAAACTAATATGCACAAAACGATGCGAGCTAGGGGGACCACAAAAGTAAGTGTGCCCGACGCACACAGACTTGAAGCAGTGCTACGGACAAAACCAAGGTAGACTCAATGAGAGATACCAATGACGCAGTTCTGAAGACACGCGCATGACCCACGCACACAGATTAGAAACGAAACCACTGTTTGTTGCAACCACTGCGCAAAAAACCACGGTCGCTATCGTCACCATCATTGACAGCCACCGACGCCTTTGCCGCCATGTTGAATTAGCAGCTGGTTGTTTACATCATGTGGTTTGAGAGCTAGAGCAGCTGGTGTAGCCAAAGATGCAAGAAAAAGGCGATCTGCTATCGCGTGGTGGCAAAATCGGTCTCAGACAGATTTTTTTTTCGCATCAGCCTCGCGTCGAGTTTTTTACGGTCAATAAAGCGAGGAAAATTCTGGCAAGTTTTGCCGCATTTACTCCCTTCGAGGCCAAGAGTGAACGAGCCTTCCTGACACAGACAAACCGTGTTGCGCCGCTGGCATGCAGTGGTAAATCGCACATTCGTATCATCCACAGTGTTGGAAAAACCGTTCATTCAACAACAAATCATGCCGTATTTCATATAATGTAGTCCATTCAAAACAACCTGAAAATTCATAATATTGTGAAATTCACATGAACCATAATCGTATCATCGAGGTTCTACTGTAGTGAAATTCTGGTGCAAACCGAAACACTATTTGAAAGATATTTGAAACGTGCAATATTCTTGCATTCCTAATTTTCTTATTAGTGGAAAAATTGTATTGGTATGTAAAAAATAATAATAAAAGCATGGAAACTTCTTAACTGTTTCTGATAAAAAAAGAAAAGGCTCAGATATAATATCAGTGCTGGGATAAAATGCAGAATTCGGCACAAAATTTCCGTTTTAATTGTCTCTACAGGCAAAAAATTGTCTTGGCAGATGAAAGACGTACACAGTTTTGATAAACAGCTTTCTAGCAGACTAGCCATGATTCCTTCATGCATCGAGTTTCCAGTTTTGTGCAAATCATACTACTGTTCAACAAACGCTACATCAACAACCAACTATGAGTACCTGTAGTGCACAAATAAAGTGGCCGTAGCTGGCATCCCAAATGACTGTGGTGTTCATTGCCGACTGTAATCCAGCTTTCCACGTCAGGTAGCCCACCGTATGCTTGCCCAGCTGTCGTGCCACCACTGCGATTGAAGCCAGAAAGTAGAGTTTACATTTAAAGGGGCCCTGCAATCATTTTGCAGCACAGTCTTTTCCAAATGATCAGTAGGTAGTCGAGGCTCCTGAGAACACGCGAGTCAAACATTACAGCGTAGCACGTGAGCTGGAATCCAAGGTCAATTCTCAATGTCAGCTAGAAATCACCCCTTGTTGTGCGCACTCACTTTGGACGGGCTTTTGCAATTAAATGCAGTATTGTTAATTCCACTTCTCGAAGGTACAGGAGGATGGTCATCGTCGGGCATAGGAGCCATAGTTCTCATATTGACCGTTTGCAACCAAGACACTCCCACCTGTTGTTGAAATGTGGGCTTTCCTGTTAGGTCTGTTTGCCAAGTGGCTAAGTTTACTGCAAGTCAAAGTGCTACTGTGGAGGTGAGAAGCAGAAAGCAAGAACTAATATCATGCTGTATTCAAGTGAACAGTGTGTTACGTAGAGCTCTTAGACTGTTTTTCAAGTCACACATTAACGGACCTGTTGGTAAGCTTTGCGTCAGAAAGCAAGGAGGCAAAAGTATGTACAATAGCGTTTTAATGCACACAATCCTCGTATCTCATGCACCAGATTATTCCTGCTCAAGAGAGTTCACTGTTGGGCTAGCGTGCGCCAGCCATTTAAAAAAAACACAGAAGTACACCTAACCAGCGTGAAAGCTCGCAGCAGCCTAGTCTTGGAGTTGAAGATGAAGAAACACATCCTACATGGTGAGAAAATGCATCCACAGGATGGCAGACATTGCTATGAACATCCAAGTCAAGTTTTGCAGTTCTGCGCAGCAAGGAGAGCTTACAGAGCACAGAGCACAAATGTGCCGTTTTCTCACATGCCCTCTTTTCACACAGAAACCCGTGATCGCTCTATTCAGAGCTGCTGGCACCTGCTGTTTGACGTCGAACATGCATACAGCATGCTATTGGCTAATAGCTGGCATAAATGATGAGCCGTGTTTTGATAAAGTATGCCTGTTACCACGGGGCGCCGCCATGCACCTGTGCAGCACTCTATCATCTGCTACAAACATTAAAACACTAAAGTGGAACAATGAATCGATTTAGATTGATAAAATGTTCTCTGAAAACTCTAATGTCGTTGATCTTATCATCATAAGTTAATTATTACAGGAGAAAATCTAAGTTAGAGCATCATCTATAATTTTCGCACCGAAATCTGTGCACATGACGTCGCAAGTTTCAAAGCGTATTGTCATACTTTGGCGACATTGGCTAGACGAAATTTCCCGAAACATGACATGTTGTGTCTCTGGCCCTATCAGCAGACAATCTCCTTTATTTTCACCTACTAGGAGCAACGTAGGTCTTAGTAGTAACACCGTCGAATTTTATGACGTCGTGGCACTTGATGCATGAATTTCAAGGTAGTGTCGCCACCCAGATTTTCTTTTTGAGCATTTTCCCAACGTCTTCTGATGCTGATTATCTTGGGATCGTTAGAGGGTAACTCACTAATGACAGTAAAATCATTTTCCTCTTTAGTGTCTCTGTATTAGTAAGACACGCTCAGTCATAAGAATAACAACAGGAAAGAGCGATCACACTTCATCACACATGCTCAAAGTCACGAAAGACACTCACAAAACTTCTTTCCCTTATGTCATCCCTTTTAAAGAGACCCTGAAACAGTTTTTTAAAGTATTGTCAGCGTTTAGGCTAGAGCATCATCAACCCATTCGCACCTCAAATTTAGCGACATGCCGTAAACCAAGGCCTCTACAAATAATTTTATCAGACCCTCCTTCTCATTTCTGCCTTGCCTCCTCAACTCATGAGACACAGTGAGATACTCAACTCATGAGACACTGGTGATCGCAGAGCCCTCATGAGCACACTCGACGATTTGAGCTTCGCCCAGTCTAGACCTCCTAGATTGCATCCCGACAAGTTGCACGCAATCTTGGAGGTCATCACACAGTGCGCCCGTCTGGCAACAGAGAGGAAGATCGCGGAGCAATTGATATCTGCTCCGACGGGTGCCGCCACCCTACCAGCCAATCTCACTTCGCGCGTTCCGCAGTCAATCAGATCAGCAGCCTCAGTCACGTCGCCTTACCAGAGCACGTCGTTCTGTGAATGAGCGTTTGAAAATGTGTTTGGCTGAGTCGCAGCAACCTACAGCAATCTGCAGCTTTAAAGCGTTGTTTATAGACTACACAGTTTACGAAGTGAGCTCAAATTTATTTATTTATTTATTTATACATACTGCGGACACAATGTATAATAATTGGTCTATTAATGGCCCTTAGGACTTTGGTATACGGCCCATGTGAGTTTGAACAAAATTATCAAAACCGCTCCAGGGTCCCTTTAGCTTCCAGTGCACTCATCGAGAAGAGAGGAAACGATTAAAGCACACAACAAACCCCTGTGATTCGGTTCGCTCTTGACGAATTCGAGAAAGTTTTGCGACAACTGATTCATGAGACACTTAGCTCTGATTCTGAAGTCATTCAATGATTGTCTAGAAAAGTGGTGCATGACCCCTTTAGGGAAAGAATATTTTGCCACCCTAACAAAATAGTCAATTGGGAAATTTGGAAATAGTCAATTTCCAAATTCCGACAGTGGTCCGCTCTAGTTTCATACAGCTGCCCACTTAAAAAGCTAACAGGCTGTGATGTAGTACCTTAAAAATGCGAGCATAGCAGATGACAGCACCACATCATTTAGAAAATGAGAAGAATGAAGAGGCATTGCAGCGCGCCCATTGAAAAAAGAAGAGGAGACGCTCGCGGAGAACGAAGTCGTTCGGACGCCGGCAAGACGACGCAAGGGAGCCTAGGGCGAACCCGCAACTACGCGCGAGGTTCGAAAGGCCGGGTTCCTGTTCTCGAGCCATTGACGTCCCCGGGGCACGGCGTGTCGGCGTCGCCAAGCTCGAGTTCTCGGTGAGTGGTCCTGTGGACATCTCCAGTACGGCGAGCGCCTTCGAAAGACCGGAGCTGCTGACCATGTCCCCCGAGCCGACGTCGCTGACAGTGTGCAGCTACGCCTAGACCTGGTGATGCCCCTTACAGTGGTATGCTGACCTGGAACGCAAGCGGCGACAGCATCCGAGCACGCAACGGGTCCCAGGCCAAGTCAGATCAGAGAAAAGGCTTACCAATATTGCAGCCTGGTTGCAGGCCAATGGGAGTGACTTGAAGCAGCCCTTGAGCTGACGCAAAGCTGCAAAAAAATGCCAGCAAAGAGATACTACAACAATACGCCCGACTTACTTAAAGGCCAAATATTCTATGTGCATATTGCAAAGATTCCTACGAGGGGACTTCTGCAGAGTTTATTTGCTTATTCATTTGCAATAAACTATGGAGAAATAATACTGAACAATGCATTGAGCCCCTGAACTTCCAGAGCTGTTCTTTTCTAGTAGCTACCAAAGATGAGGCAACATTACATAAACCTTTCCTCTGGCAAGACCTTTCTGACGTCTGCATGAATAAGTCAATGCTTGAGTCAACTATGATTGTGGTGCACTTCCACGTGACGGGAATGCATATTTACCTTTTTTGACAAGGCTCTGCAATGATGTTTCCATACAACAAAGTAAGCGAACTGCAAATTTTGGCCAATTGCAGCAACATCAAAATGTGATAGGTGTTGTACAGGTAAAAAAGAATGGTAAAACTTCCATACAAGTCACACATTGCTTCAACATCTAGAGTCACATTTCAACCCTTTACTGCCGGATGTCGCAAATTCGCGACATACTGAAAAACTGCGAGCAAGCCAGTCATGAAATGCGTGCCACCTCTAATGTCAGCTGTCAAGTACTTATGGAGGATGTAGCTTTCAGCATGAAAAATTTAGTGCTGTCTCGTCTAAGGTATTTTAGGCTTGAACCAATTACTTTGAAGCTGATGGCGGAGAGCACGAAGAGCGTGCAACAGCTCTCACTTCTTCGTTTTTTCTTTCCTTGGTGGCGTAAGTTCTATCTTCAATAATTTTGTTTATTTGATGTGTCTGCACTCAAGAGATAGCACACAACATGTTATGTAGCTCTGAAGTACATTTTTCCTCGCTTCTATGACATATGGAGAATTTGCAACATACACAAAAGTATGCAATAAAGTTGCATTTCAGATAACCTAACTGCGGAATCACTTAAGGGTTGCTATTTAAAACTGGAAAATGAAAACAATTCTTATTTTGCTCGCCTCTTCTCAAGTCAGGCATTAAAAGGTTAATGTCACTAACATCTATTGTGTCCACTGGTACACAATTGTAGTGGTGGCACATTCATGAAATAATGAGTGCTCGTACTGCTCTGTGTTGCCTCTAAAATAGCTCATACCATATTTTCACGAACACATGTACACTGTCGTCCTTTATGAAAGGGAACACGCAAACATGTGGCCTTTGCTCTGCAGCGGCTGCCTACAGCACCATCCACTGACAAGTGAAGAAAGCACATATGCTTTAAGCGTCATCTGTTGCCAAGCAAGATAACCCGTGATGGCCAGTACACAAGCGCTGCTAAATTATGTTCCCTCACTGCTCGCGCGGCGAGCAATATCGGGTGATTACTGCAGCTTGCGCTGTGGTTGCCCACAACGTTTCATCTGTTGGCAGTAGACTGCGCACTGCAGGCATCCCCCTCTGCGTAAGCGGAGAGGGAGTGTAATCTAGTGGCGCTTCTCTACCGGTCATGCCTCGTTATCTTTTCTGGTAACAGATGATGCCGAAAACCAACATGTTTTCTTTTGCTGTCGGTTGATGGTGCTGTAGGCAGCCACCACAGAGCGCAGGCCACGCGCTCATGCGTTCCTTTTCGTAAATAACGACAGTGTACAGCCAGCAGCATGCTTAATACGAAAGCCCTGAAACTTGGCCTGGACCGGCTTGGACTGGTGTCATCATCACAGAATGTATCCTCGGTATGTTTGTGGCAGTTGATGAAAGGTGGAGCGCAACTTGATTTGACTGGTCAACTTGTCTATCACTTGTGTCTGACCAGCGGGTGAAGTCCACTTAACATTGACAGCTCCTGCTATCATCAGCCGCCGCAAACATGGCAACCGACACTATGGCACTGGCTTCAGAACAAGCCAGTCTAGGCCAGGCGGCGGAGCGTTCGTATTGAATGCTCGAAGCTGCACGTGAAATGCAGCGAAACGGGAAGGTCATATGCATACACGACTGCTTTAGTGCCACTGAAGAAGCAAAACCTCAACGCAACGAAGGTTGCAATTTACTACAAGAAAGTTTTTTCCCACCCACATGACTTTGTAATCTCTAGGTTTGCACAGTGTTAACCAAACGCACATCTATGTGCTAGTGTGCCTATAACATATGTGTGGATAATGCCATGCCAGCATCGGTCAACAGTTATGTCTCCACCACTAGGGTAACTGAGTGGAGCACTGATGATTTACTAACATTGTTTTGTGATTTTCTGAGCTAAGCACACTCCACACCTTATGGCGTTTGTGAAAGTCCGGTGTTGGTAAAAGGGCAGCACCAAACCACCAAGACTGTGGTCCTGTCTAAAGCAACTCTCTAGTGTGTGCTAATTGTGACTACAACAGAAAAAATAGGTGTTTTTCACAGGTGTTGTAATTCAATATCTCTAATACAATGATGAATCTTGAAAGCATGCCATGTAGCAGTCATGCTATTAACCAGCAAAGAATTGGCGAGATAAACACATGCGTTGTAGACACACGGAGGCCCACGCATCCACAATGAAATGCAGACAACTCGAGCGTTTTGATGTGCAAGCCTTCATTGTGGGTAATTTAGAATTGTGTTCCATTCAGCCCGTTGGTGTACTCATCCGCCACCCGTTATGTATTGGACTTCTGCATTACAAGATCCGTGCTTAAATGTCGTGGTACCTTACTTTTAAAAATCATGTTATTAAAATTTTGTTATACTACATACATGCATTGTTCTATTTAGTTTTTCAAGTTTTCTGTTTTTTACATTACGTGCCACTGCTAGTGTGGACCGACAAATCAAGCATGCTTTTCCCACATTTTTATCTCATTACAAAGCTTCTAATGCTCAGCAAGCGATCCGAGCCTTACTGCCTGTAAGCATCGACCCTCTAATAATACAAAACCACTGCAAGTTAGCTCTTTCAATTTGTCTCACAAACACACGCATGTACAAACATAGACACACACACACACGCACACATTTTGCTTTTCAAGCAGCCAGACAAATTGCATGACAAAAACAGGTGAAATATAATGGCCTTACCGACCTTCTCTTAGAGAGTGTTCTGAAGCCTTTCACTCCACAGAGGAGGCCATTCCCAGCGCCAATTTCAAACTGCAAGGGACAGCGCAGCAAGATAAACAAAAGTTTAGAAACTAGGCACAAGTAAAGAGAAAGAGTATAATGGGTTTGTCGCACCTCACTAAACACAATGTCACCACAAAAATGGGAAAGAACATGCTGAGGTAGATACAAGAAGCAGTATACGAGTGCAGAAAGCGAAAATCAGAGGTTGCAGTGCAATAGGTTGATATTTCAAATACGAATAGAATAGTTTCTATACTTTCCACATATTCCAACACATTCAATCGTAAAAATGCACTTCTGGATTTTTTCGAATATTCAGCACCGGCCGAATATGTGGTTCAAGAGTTCAAGAAAAATTTTGAAAATTTAACGAAGTAGCACATTACGAGTGCTACACATCCTTGTTTTCACAGCGAAATGCAGCTACAGTCGAACTCCGCTAACACGAATGCCGCTTCAATGAAAAATTCACGGTTCCCCGTCAGCAGTCCATAGAAGTCAATGCATAAATATTGTCGGCACAACGAACACTTTTTCTTCTGCTGTCCCGCTTCAACGAAATTTCACAATGCAATTTCAGAAGTGTGGCAGCTTGGGCTAGTTGATATGGCATGGCGATAGTTATAGCGCGAGAACAAGACGACGACACTCGTGTCCTTCTTGTCTCTTAGTCATCGTTTTGTTCTCGCGCTATAACTATCGTCATGCAATTTCAGGCTCAGATATTTATTGCTATACAGCAAACACAATCTTTAACATTTTGATGCATTTTGGTGCTTCGCAGACGATCCGAAGCTGAAGCCCAGTTCATGGTTTCCTTCACGCAGCTGCTGCAGTTGCTGGGTGCAACTGTGGAACGATACCTTTTTAGATTCCAATGCTTATCATTTTATTCGCGCTTGGCCAGTGTGGTACCTAATCAGAGCGGCTGTTCATCCACATTATTAAGAAAATCAGCTAGCCGATAGTGATGGATGATAAGATTGGCATAGAATAAGGCAAAAGTCACCGCTCCACGATACCCCACCTCCCTCTCGCCGTTGTCGGATACACTTTAATGGTGGACAGCTGCTGGTGTTAACGTTTTAATGCAACTGTTTGGTACATTCACGAAAGCAGTTGTAGGCATTGTTTCAGCGTGCTTTTCACCATGGGCTCACTATGCATGACTGAGAATCGTTCGTGACGCTGCTGGGAAAGAATAGGAACCAGCGGACATAAACGAATAGGAACCAGAATAAACGTTCCTTTGTTTTGCTAGCTCAGATCAGCTCTATTTTTTGGGTTTCACTACAATGAAATTTTTGCTTCAACGAAATATTTTCCGCACCCCGTGAGTTTCGTTGTAGCGGGGTTCAACTGTAATAGGCACCTAGCGTGGTTGAAAGGTTCTCAACCAAGACATCACAGATCATAATGTTTTCTGCTTCATGCTGCTAAGCTCAAAAGTACATGTTCGATTCCCAGCTATGGTGGCCACATTTCGATGAGGGCAAAATGCTGAGAAACACCCGTGTACTTACATTCAGGTGCACATTAAAGAACCCCAGGTGGTAAAAATTAATCTAGTCTTCCAATACCACCTGCCTCAATATAATATAGTTGTTTTTGCTTGGAAAACCCAGCCTTTAATTATTATTATTATATTACATTTAAATGTAGTCACTCAGAAATATGCATAATGTGCACGTAACCTTCCTGCTCTGTGACAAGACCACATGTCAAAATGTCGGCCGCAGCAACATCCCTTGTTATTAAAGCACATTTCATCTATACAGTTACACAAGCATGTTATACATTTACACAAGATACATGCATGCATATATAGTGCACGAAACATAGTCATTAGACATAGCTTCAACCGAATCTTTTCCACTTTTTTGCTCCCACAAAAAGGATCAAAAGTTGGGCAGACTCAACTCCCCTACCACTTTCAAATACAGTCGCCGACCGTTTATTCGGATGCCGAAAATTCGGACATCTTCATGGCACCGCTAACTCCCCATTGATCCTAATGTACACTCACGACCGAAAATTCGAACGCCCCACTGTGCGCCATTCGGTTATTCGGACTCCGTTTGACTGACCGGATGCGTCGCCGTATGTCATTACACGCTGAGAGCGGCGTTAACAATACGTTTGCTAGTTTGCCAGCACTGATATGCTGCACTAGCTATGGATAAATGTCTGGCTAGTGTCAAAATGATATGCTGCACTAGCTATGGATGGATGTCTGGCCAGTGTCAAAATGCACGCAGAAATCGCTATTGCCGATCTCCGAAGGCTATGTTTGGCGACGCTTTTTTTTTAGCCAGATCGAGCGGCCAAGCCAAACCACCTACAGAGTCTGTTCGCTGTGGCGTTTGTCAGCAGTGTCAGTCAGCTGCTTTTCGGCTAGGCCTGATTCGTCTTGTTGTCTGTGTTCTCGCTCTCTTGCGTGTTCCGTGGCGTGCTGAAATGGCTACAATGCCACCCATTGCTGCACCGTCGGGAGTGAAGAAACGCGGCCAACGTGGGAGCTACAAGACACTCGCGATGACGAAGAAAGCGGATATAATTCGCCAGGTAGAAGGCGACCTACCTCAGTCTGAAGTCTGAATTTTCTATTTCCAAGCAAACCGTCTCGGAAGGGTGCGTGTGTGCAGACATGACAGTTTTTTCGCGTGATAGGGCCTATAAAAGTGCTTTTTTTTTTCGAGTGAATCCGTTTATTTCGGACTCCAGATTATTCGGACGTTTTGGCGGTTCCCGTCGAGTCCGAATAAACAGGTCAGCGACTGTATTACCAGTACGCTCTGAACAGTTCTCTTATGGTGCTTCTCACAGCCTTAAAACAGTCCCGAGCATAGTGCAAGATACGCGCGGCTTAGGTCAGGTCAATTGCAAGACATGATCGACCAGATTGAGTAACAACACCACGAAGTCAGTCCGGTGATGGCAAAGAACATCTATCAGCAACAAAAAAAAAAAAAAAAACATGATGGCATTTCTGTAGCACCCGGCACTCCATAGGAAACCCTAATTTCCTAGGTGTCTTGTTTTTCACTACATAAAAATGCTCTGTACAGGCAAACACAGGTACTGATGCTAATCATGCAGATTTTTATCGCCACAGCACATAAAACATTCTCTGTCATAAATTTGTGTCATCCAGCTTCCATCACTGGGTCAACAGATACATCAATGTTACTTCATCTAATTGAATGCCCTTGCAAGAATGCCAAGAAGTAGTATCGTGCAAGCAACCATCGAAACTACCAACTTCCTACAATACTACATACTGATTTCAATAACATGACCATATTCTGGCAAGACACTGCCCCTGGTGCCCCTGTCACTTTCAGCCCAGTGCACTATTTCATGTTTTGAAGGAGAGCACACCTTCAAAAATTTTGTAGTTCTACAAGTACGCTGTAGAAGCTTGTTTCCATCTTTGAGCAGTTTTTAGCCATCACAGCAGGTTTGCTGCAAAAGGTTTCTAACAAGGCATAGCCTAAGAACCAGGTCAACCCTATATTGTATTATGGCACATTTTGAACAGAGAGAGAGAGAGTTTTTGTAAAGAAAAATTGACACCACCCCCACGAGCGCTCAAATGTACATACCTCCGACCACATTTTCTGCGACACAACATGCCGGAGGGAGCAAGTAATGTTCCCGTTCCCGGTTCCATTTTGAGCCGACAGGTTCCCGCTCATTGTGACCGTGTCATTCAGGCTCAGAGGTGCTTCGATTGACTGATTGATGGTCATGCTGTTGATTTCCATTTGTGGCAAATACCTGCGCCGTGCAACAGGCGAATGATGACAGTCAGTGAAAGGACACGTACCAGAAACAAATTCAAACAACCGATTTGTTTTTGCCAAAAACTCAGAGGCATGAACTAGGGTAAGAATTAACTAAAGTGGCATGCTTCCATGTTCAAATTGAATAAGGTTTCCTTCCACAGTATCAAATGCTTTTTAGGTGGTTTTTAAAGTGTGTCCAATACAACTGTAAAGTCAAATTAATGCTTTGGGCATCAGTGAAATACATACATTTCACTTTTCCTTGTGTATTAATGTTTTTTTCCGCATCACCTGTTGTAATGTGTGACGCTAATAAGTTGCTATCATACCACAGTGTATGTAAGCTCGAGAAAAATTGTTTTACTATAGTTTCAGAACGTGATAGTCGAGCCATAACACCGTTGAGATTTGTTCAATTCTTTTTAGAGAAGCTTGAGGATTTTCCTCTCATACAGATAATAAAGTCTGTCATTTACAGTCATTTAAAATGGCAGGTAATTTTCTTTTTCCTGGCTTTCTAGCGACATGAATTCAACTCATGTCATCGCGTGTTTTTGTAGACTTGTACAGTAAGTCAACTGACAAATGCATCGAAAAACAATCCTTCGCTAATTTTTCCACGCTTTTTACTAAGCCTAACTATGAATAACAGTGCACGAGAATACTACAAATTTTCTTGACATCATGTACCTCTTGAAAGAAGGACAAATAATCATGGAAGACATCGGTACTCAGCCACTTTCACAGAGCAAGAAGGGACAACAAAATTGACAAAAAATTGTTTTGTGAATGCAGTGAAGCGTGCTTTACAGGAACAGCCAACAGTCCTACGTAGGCATGTAAGGCGAATGCGCAGGTGCTGTTCTGTAGCTGTAAATGAGGTGCACATAATGTTCCTCCATACAGCTTGACAAGTGCTCCTCTAGGATCAATTGTGTTGGCCTTTTCATCCCAAGTACCTGGTGATGCTATAACATGATGGTACCTTCTAGAGTCCTATGGACATATGTGTCCTCCCTTCCTTTTTTGCCAGCAAAGTACAGCCTTGATTTTCATGAAATTTGTTTTTTAATATTTTGTTGTGGTTTATATGTATTAACTATGGCCAGTTTTAAAACGTGTCAAAAATATAGTAGAACCTACAAAAGGTCAAGTGAGATCAAATCGACGAAAAGTGATTGCAACGGAAAGATAGTGACAAAAAAAGGGTGCACAAGGAGATATGCAAAACAAGGTTGTCTTACCCTCTCGTATCATCATCATAGTAGGCCTCAAAAAGGTCTGTGGCATCAATTCCAACACTGATGCTTCCCTGCGAGAAGGATAAACGATGAGGCACATACAAGATCAACTTTGAGGCTTCATAAAAATGCAGTGTCCGACGGCCACTCGAACTTGTCTGGGATGCAGAGTGCCCACACAGAAGTGGATGGAGTCAGGTGTTTTTTACAACCTCAGAATCAAACCATATGAGAATTATGACTAACTGAGCGTAGACCAACTGGCAATATTTTAATTAAGCTAATTTCTGCTAATATAGAACAAAAGAGAATGACCTGGCAGTCTTGACATGATTGACGTTCTAATTTTACACAAGTAGTGCCACGTGTTAGCATGAGAGTACAGATGCTTACCACATTAGAAAAAGAACACCGCAAAAACTTTGACATGACACAAGACGAAGCAGGCATGACAACAGCGCATGACAATGACCCTAGCAAGCGCAGACGTGTTAATACCTGGCATGCTGTACTAAACAGGAAAAAGTGTATGTTGTAAAGGCTGTGGAACACAGCAACACCTCATGCACATCATAGAACCACAGTAGTCCTCCGAATTCGACAAGGTATCTCTTCAAATAATTGTGAAGCTAGCCTTCCTGCAAGGCTTTCCTACAAGCCTATTTACCCAAAATGGTTAACGGTCACATAATTATTTTTTTGCGAACAGAATGCCCAAGCTACCGTTTGTTTGAATTGCGACATGAAAATTGTAAATGTGGCACTTCTGATGAAAGAATGCACAAAAGACAGCAGTTCACCTTCATTTGAATGCTTCCGTAATTAGATGGGCAAACATGTTGCGCAGAGAAGCATACATGCGATTTATGACAAAAGCAAGCATAGCAATGTGCCGCCATTCTTGTACAAAGAAATGGACAGTAAACTTTATCGAGTTGGATTACATAAACCACAGCTTGCACCTTGTGTGACCCAACCAAATGATGAATGATTCATACTGTGACTCGGCACAATTTCATATGCTTTCAGAGAGGCTGGTAATAGGTCAGGTGCATTCTATGAAGTACAGGGAACGATTTTCTTAAGCTACCTTTCTCAAAATTATTAATTAGCTGCAATATTGGAGGACTTGCATTCAATTGGCTGTAAGATAGCTATTGGTACTCAAATGAAGTCTTCTAGAAGTACTTCGTTCCCAGCTTTTGTGCTTAATAGCTAAGCTTTAAAACTAATTTTTATAGATACATAAGTTTTTTTTCAAGCTGGTCATAAACGATGCCAGTGAATACGTCAATATTACAAACAGCTGTGCTTTACTAATAGACAAATTAAGGTAAATGTGGGACATGATATGTGCCACCAGTGGGACATTTTGTAATAAGCCCCCATGCCCTACAGAGCACAATTTCTTGCTGATACTTAATCTACTTGAAATAAGAAAGAACATTCTGTGCATTACAAGACAAAATAAAATATTGCTCATCCGCTTCTGTTTGATTCCTAAAATGAAAGAACCACTTGCCGTTACTACGAAGAACAGCCGTTACTATGGAATTCTATTTTCGCAAAGCCACGCTCCACCTACGTGGTCGCGTCTCAGTAGTAGTTTCATTATCCCATACTGCTGCCTGTACTTTGCTCGCTCATGAAAGTCCTTTTGACAGAAAGTACGGCAAAATTTGCTTTTGCTTCGACAAAATGCTGCACGCATGGGAGTATGCCAGATGTCCAAATGGTGGCATCACATGAGCAAGAGCAGCTGCAGCAAAGAAACAGATGTGATTTTCCAATGGGTGCCACGGAATTAAAAGATTACTTTGAGGCCTATGCTCGAAGTGGCTGAGTGTTGTGCCTCTGCGATGGTGTGCTGAACAGCCACAATATCTGCGTGTGTGTTTGCTACACTTTCGCGCTGAATATGTTGCCGCCGGACAGTCAAGGCAAGTGACGTCAGGCAAAGCAACTGTTACGTCAGTGGTCTTTTCAGGCAAGTGATTTGAAATGCGCTAATGTCGTGCGAACCACTAAAATGTAATAATTTTTCAAAATAGGCACTTCCTCAGCATGAAACAAGCTCTACAATGTTTTTGGTAGGTTATTTCAACAATCAAAGTCGACTTAATATTCGCTTTTAACATCCCTTTTAAGAAATTGCTAACCTTTGGATTTGTTCGCTGCTGTAGACGCCTTTCTTCTTGCTCTCGTGCCAGCCGCTCGTACTCCTCCCTGATTTCTTGTGGCGTCTTTGTGCGCTGTACAATCTGACAAAGTTGATGCAAGAAATGTAGAGGTGAAAATGTCACAGAAAGACAAGGGCAAATGCATCTTATGAGGCAAAGTACTCTACGAAAGTCCCTTAGTGCACAGTTTATGCAATTTAAATAATAATTTATGTAATACTGAGTTGAATGTAAAGTTATGAAACTCTGTGCTTTCAAATCCCACATGACAGTAAATTTCAAAATACACCTAAAGCTCAATCTAACAAAACACAATATCACAAAGTTTCCAACCTAGTGAAGAAACTTTTATTCCATGACAAGTGTCCATAACGTTATTTATTGCCATAAGTTCAAATTACTTGACTAATTTGGCCATAAAACTCTATAAAAAGAAGTTTATTCTATAGTAACTGATTAAAAAAGCAGCGATTGCCATTTACTTCTCGGCGAGATGGTTTTTGTCCTCAAGAGTGTACTCTAACGATATAGTATTAAAGCATCTAGGTGCTCTAGTTACGGCCCTAGATTTACTTTGACAAAGCTGTACGCCGTGTCTATGCACGGAACAACGAACTCGGCAGTGAGCAGCATTCTCACATACTGGATGATGCTAAAGGTGGTGGTGCTCGCCTAGTTTATTTCATGATCTTCGTGACAGACAACACAGATCATACCCTCGCATCTTGCTTGCTTGTCCTGCTAGCAGAATCACAGCATTGCTTTTCGCACCAATGCGCATCAACAGTCTGTCACAGCTTCATGTGACTGCCTACATGGCCTGCATTGCCCCAAATCATGTCCAATATGCTTAGGCTGCCCTTGCGAACTCTTCAGATGCGTGGAATGTCGGCAAAAACAATGACGTGGTGGCTTCTGGGTGTCGCTACATTACAATTTCAAATCTTGCAGGATTGAGAAAGTCTTTTCTCGAGTTTACGAAATTTCTGATTTAACGAAATAATTTGAGCGTGGTCATCCTTTGTTAAATCAAGTTTCAACTGTACAAGCTAACTGAACTACATATATAAAAAACATGCACAACACATACGCTGAGTGTTATCACTGTCCATACAAACGCGCAACTGTACATACAGTGATTGCATTCACTATAAACGTATAAGCCAATACTACGTGTTGCTAGATGAATATATGCAATGCTTCGAATAGACAAGCAAATTCAGATTTGTCAGTCTTTTGTAGAAGAAGAAATTCAACGACACTTTCCCTACCACTTGAGTAAGGTTGCATGTTTGCCATTGAAGTTTAACCGCACAAAATGCCCGACTTCACAAAGCTAATGGTTCGCTTATTTTATTCTCAAGGTAAAAATAGGTTGAGAATGAACTTACTTAGTTGAAATTCAAGAATCAGATTACTTGTTTAAAATGCTTTCAAGTATGGAACTCCCTAATTATGAAGACAATGAGATGTTTTTCCAGGAGCATGCAAAATCAATACTGGTGAGATCTATACGATTATGCTACAAACGAGTACAAAAGTGATGCATTCAGTTACCTGCCATCCTTCTGTTTCGAGACCCTTGACTCCCAGCGTGTCATATATGGCTCTCTTGTGGGGGTTAATCAACACTGCGAGAATACGAGGTTATTAAAGAGGAAGGCACGCAAGCAAATTATTTAAAGCAATACCGTGATCCTGCTCCTACCAAAGCGATTTTTCCATCACGTAAGTCACGCTCATATTTGCATTAGTTTCAATGATGACACGTTAAACTGTAAAACTAGACCATTTTTCAACTGGCTTTGCACAGCGAAAGCAGGCAGACTCCTGCAAAAAGGGCATCACGGTTCGCTGTACTGTGCCTCGCCACTGCTGTCGTCAGCCTAGCAGCATTTGTTATCAACAGATGCACCGTTTCCCTCGTCTTTCAGGTGCGTAACCAGATGTCAAACGAGAGGGCGCGTCCACAGTTCCCGCGTGTCGCGACTTGCTTATGCAACACATGCGCAACTTGCATAGATGTCATGCTCAGGCGTAGTTATTATCAAGAATCGATATCGCTACGAAGGGAACCTTCGTCTGTGAGAGGCTCAAAATCAATTACTGTTCAACAAACTTCTCATCTTAATCGGCTTGATGGCGCCGTGTATAGTGATAACCGTGAACACTTTTGGCTGCGGCTCCAATCCAGGGGACTTACCATCGTAAGCTCTCCGGGTCTTGTTGAAAAGCACCTCCGCATCCCGCTTACTGAGAGGGTCCGCATGCTTGTCCGGGTGGTATATCTTACTCAATCTCTTGTAGGCATTCTTTATCTCGTCTTCGGTAGCCTGGATGCGCGGAGAAGATGCGACAGCGTCGGTCACAAACACCAGCACACCGGCGCATGGTCGGAGCGATATCTCGTCACTCCGCAGCGAGAAAGCGACCGGATCGGCAGAGATTAACGCAGCCCGCACGTCTATATAATCTGATCGAAAGCAGCGCCAACTTACATCTTTGCCGATGTTCAGAAAAGTGTAATAATCGTCCTCCACTTGCAGAACATCGTCGTCTGTATCACTTTCCATGTGCGCCGCCATTAACTGCAGCTAGCGGCCCCACTCAGATAAAAAAGAAAACTGCTGCTACATTTTTAGTAAAACAAGTTTTTAACAGAACAATTGTAAGTTTAAGTGTTGAATTATTATTTTTCTGCAAGAAATAAAAGACTATATATTTCTTTAAACTAAAATACGGCAAAAGAAACGCATGTTTACTGATACGAGAGTATCGCAGAAAGCGCTTACTCTCGAACGCAAAAACCGCAAGCGCAGCGCTCCGGAAAGTTGCGTGCGGCCAGCCGGCGAAGGTTCTGTTTACATTCGATTCAAATAGTTTCGTGTTTCCGAAAAAGCGTGGTTCCTCTCGTGACCGCCCGTCGCTGGTGCTTCGTGTTCGTCGAAACATGTAGTTCCCAGCCACCCGGTGCGCGCTGCAAGCCGGCCCCGCCGGCGGCGAAAGAAATAAACTCCCACAGGGATGAATCCTCCAGACTGTTGAAGGCTGAAAGATGGAGATCTGCCGGGATGGCTCAAATAATTCACACAAAAAACGCAACCTCCCAGTCGAACGCTGGTAAGTTTTGTGCATCCCCTATGCGGCAATGCAGCGGCGAGATTAAAACTGTCTGCGACAAGTGCGTTGCGGCTGCGCGCGATGTATGTGTCGTACGCGCTCTGAATGGGCGTTCCGATTTTGCTGTACGTAGAACGTGACTTCGAAGACCCTGGTGTATCCCACCTGTCGTTAGCTCAAAGCTGCGGTTTCCGAGCACCCAACAAATGCGTCTGAAGCATGCTAGACGCCGTTACGTTTTACCGAACCGCTCTTCTATTAGAAACTACCGAGAATCGCCCTTGTTTCGTTTCGCTGGCACTAGCGGTGCATATACTAATATCGGTAACAAAGCAAACCTGTATAAAATAGAAAAAAAAAAAAAAACGTTTACGTGCACAGCCTGCTATCCGAAAAAAACGCCCGTCTTCTCGCGTCTGCGATACAGCGATCGGATTTTGTGCCTCTTCGAAGGTGCCGGCGCACGGTCTGTTACGATCGAGTGTCGTCGCAACTGGCAGCAGCGGCTCTCTCTGGAATCGATATTCGCTCTTGCATGCCAAATGCGCGGCCCGGTTTGTCGGCCCCGGTCCGGCGCGCGATCGTTGACCATTAGGAATGCAGCAGGAAACACGGCGCGAAGATTTATGGGCACCACGAGAGACGACGACTGAATTCCGCCGTGTCGTGCCCAGATGCGACGCACACGCAATAGTTGGTCGCTTGGCATGCGACCCACATAGCGCGGTGACACCGCGACTTCTCCGGCCTTAAGCTGCGCGGCTGCCGCAATACAGAGTGTCTCACGTGCGTGGCTGGCCTTTGAAGCAAAGTGAAACAGATAATGTTCGTCGAGTCGTTGCCACGACGCAGATGAATTAACCCTCCGCGCAGGGCGTCAGTGGCATTTCTGGTTTCGCTTCTCGCGGCTTGCGCATCGTTTCTTTATTGTGATTTGCAGATGTAGTAACCAATTTTTAACGTCTGTAACCCTATACGTCGAATCTCTTTAACAGCGTTAGTCTGCTGTTTGATGCGATGTTAGTGCACTTGGTGCGGTTTCTTTAACTAGGCACGGTGCCATGCTTATCTTGGCGACTTGGTTTCGGTTTTAGCAGGCCTGTTGCTTTATCAGCGCTTCGCATCATAAACTTGACGTGCGACTGTTTACACTTGAATGCGGACGCGTGGGAACTGCATTTGTCTGGTACACTGTGCAGTGAAATAATACATGTGTCTGTCATTGTTTATCCTAATTTGGGTATTAATTAACGTCGTGGTATTGTGCAGCATATCCAGGCGAAATATTCGCAACGCTCTATGACCTCCGTGTTTCTGTTATTTTTTAACTAAATTTGCATTTTGAAGTGCGCACACAAAAACAAAATAAAGTGGCCGTATGCCTAATAAGAACGTTGCAGGCTGGAGTTTTATTCAGATTGTGTGACTTAACAAAAAATATACGTACTTGTATTGTGGTTATACTTATTCGTAATGCAGGCTAATAACTCCCATATAACGCATTTGTGCTTGGGAATTGCACATTCGTGGTGCTTATTTTGTGAATTAAGGAATGAACGATTGAGGCACAAGGAAAAAAAATATAAAAAAATACTACTGGCAGGCCGGAGGGCCCTGGCCATCGCGGAGGGTCTTCACCTTCCTGTGCCGACCTGGGTGGAGTCGCTGACTGGTTGAGGGGGCCTTATATAGGACGTCGTTCAATTAGTCCCTCTGGTGCTTTAACGAAGTTATTTGTATGTATGTATGTATGTATGTATGTATGTATGTATGTATGTATGTATGTATGTATGTATGTATGTATGTATGTATGTATGTATGTATGTATGTAGCAATGTAAAACGTTAGGATAGTTGGTGAATAGCTGGGTAATATTTTTTTTCTGATTTTCTTTTATTTTCTAGAGTAACTTTCGGTCACAAAGTTCGACATAGAAAAGGAAAACGAAAACAATCAGTAGCAAATCGAAATCCATGTCTTGTTTGCTGCTGCTGTTTGTCGTTTTTTCTTGCTGCTGCAGATTATCGGCATGCGAGAGCGATTACATGGGAGGTACTAGGGAGTTCCCGCTCCCTGGATTACGATTGAAACTATAGTCACTGACTAGCTAAGAATGAAAAGTGAAGTGTACCACTATTCATTTGTGTTACGCGCGTTCAACTAGAGCCTGCCCTTTGTAATGACGTATTGGTTAGGATGAACCAATAAAGGTTCAACTCTTACCCACACGTACGTAGATTGCATCATCCTTGCCGGTCGTCATACGATGCTGCTGAAGTTTGTGATTGTGCCGTGTATGATGTGCACCGAGGTGGCAGCAACTCGGAGTATTTTTCCGCGCATCAAATATAAGGGCAATGCAGCCTCGTTGGCGGAGCCTGTATTTATTCTTAGGCTGCCACTGACTATATAGTCGATGGTCACTGGACGCGTGATAAATGATCCCCGGAAAGGGCGTTCTACTTATATCGGTATGCCCGTGTTACTTTCCCGTGAATTGGATTCTGTATACCATTTTGTTGGAGGGGAAGTGATTTTAAGTGAAAAGAAGCGAAAAGTGAGCTCCGTAACTGTCTCTCAGGGGAGGACACCTCAACAGTAGCTCACGAGGGATGGGGGTAGAGAAGGGAGTAAAAGGATAGGATTAAGAGGTAAATAGATAGAGAGGAAGGAGAGAGTGAGGCGCAGGGACAGCGACATCTGGAAGTAAGCAGAACACAGGAAAGATTGGCACGGTTTCAGGAGTCCGAGGGCGGGGCACCACGGGCGAGAGCTCTTGTCGGCGTCAGGAGATAGCGTAGGGCAAGTCCGGTAGGCCAGAGCTACGCTGTCGTCGAAGATCGGCGTCAGGAGATGGCGAGGGCACAACCGGTGGGCACGAAATCCAGCGAGCGAGTCCCCATTTTGTTGGTGTTTTGCGATTCTGCACTTATTCAATATATCTTACAGGTCACAGTAATAAAAAATAAGAGATGATGAAGCCGAGGAAAGTATAGGGAATGTTCCTGGTACTGTTTTAACTGTATTGCAATAATTAAGGCATAAATGCGAAGATAGTAAAGTGGTTGTTAGTTACAGCTTATCGTCGGCACGCAACCGAACCTGCGGTTGTCTTTTCGTCCATGCAGTGTATACTTTCTTCAAATCTGTATCATAATTATCACGTATGCATTCAGAACAGCACAATTAACATACCCACTATGTAAAAATACCTTTACTGACTGTGTTTCAACGACCTTTATGCCGCACGTTGGAACATAGACTGTTTATAAAAATTTTTGCGCAGATTCTTCCTCCTTACTCCAATTTGAATATATATTTTTTTTTTTGTAGCGCTAGGTGAAATACGGAAACGGGAAGAGATAGATGGACAGGACACCGCGCTCTGTCCTGTCCATCGATTCCTTCCTGTTTGTGTGTTTCGCCTCGCGCTACAAAAAATTTCTTTCAAATGCATCACCAACAAGCCCACATTGCAACTCCGTTTACTCTAGATAATGCACTTGGGCAACACCGTTGGCTTGGGGCGCCTTTCTGTCGGCAGTCGTCCTATCGAGCGTGCTCTTGTGACGTCATTACCGCGTGTCTGCCCGGGTATACTAGGTTGCCTCAAATGGCGTGCTTCTGTCAGTGGGACGAAGCCTTCTCGATAGTGAAGTGACGAGCGTACAGTTCTCGTGTAATGGAACGCGAGAAAGTTATGCGGCTGAAAGACGCCTTCAAATACTCCCCGGACCTTTATACGTCAGAACACACTATACGAGTTGCAATGTCGCGGCGCTGCGTGCAACAGGCAGTGGTGCCTCACATTCAACAAGTGTCAACATTCGTTGAGCAACAACGTTGCCTTCGGTATGGGTTGCATTGTGGGCCACAAAGAGAATGATAGAGAGAGAATGACATAACGTCGATGCTAACGAGACGAATACTGCACTCGTCTCGAGTTGCGCAATGTGACGACGGGGGAACGGAGACGAGAACTTTTCATCACGACTGAGTGCCCGGAGATGTTCGCCCCGATCGCAATCGTCACGAATGGCGCAATACCTTTCGGGGGAGATTAACTCGGCTGCAGTGGCTCAGCCAAATGAAACGGTGTCGGTCTTTCAAAGGCACGTCGTGGTTTCTCGATCACAATATATAAAATAAAGAAGAAGAGACAATGGTACAGCGAGGGTTACTTTATAGCACCGGGCTTATTGCGTTTTGTCGTTGTCCTTTGCCACATGCAATATCACTGATGCTTGGAGAACAAGTAAAAGTGAGGTGTTCTTTTACGTCAATTGCTTGTTGCACGCCGATTTCCTTCGTCTTAATTTTCTTATTATTGTACGTGCGCTGTAACATACGCGTAAAATAATACAAACGGTACGGAGGATTTTGGTAATTTTGGTGTTGTTCGGGCACGAATAGAGATCAAAGGTTCAGGTGTATGAGCAAAATCGGAGCGATTTTCTAAATTGCG